TACCATCTACAACCTGAATTTGGGCTTTCTCGACGTTTTCAATTAATTCCTGCGATTTCCACGCTTATCCCGTACCCGGGTTCGCGTCACATTGTATGCTGAAAAGGCCCACAAAGTATCAAATAATGCTCCAAGTTTTACACTTTAGGTAGTATGACTTTCAATATGGGAGAAAAAAGAAAAAGGCATGTTTTTTTTTTGCATCAACTCTTGGCAATCTCCTTCACTAGCTGTCCTTGGATCAACATGATTGCAATCAGAAAGGATTAACTGTTTTATATGGTTCCAATCGTCTTGAAAATAGAACTTGCTCTGAAACGACGGGTAGCCAAATAGTTTGAGCTGAATTTAGACTCCCCAATCCCCACTTCTTAAGGCATTTGCCAAAGACTGCAGCATCTAATATCAACATGTTTGTACTTTCAAACTATGAGGAGTCGTAGGGTGAGATGCATCTCCAACCAAAACCATGTTGTCCCAAACAGATTGATCGAAAGGCTTACTATCATGTATGACATTCAAGAGTGGTTCCTTTGTTTCTCGTATTACCTACACCAATGTAGGGAGACAAACCTTCCCTGCTGCCCCGTGCATCTTCTCGACCATGTCGCTGCTAACTTTCATGGTAACCGAGTTCAAGCATCAAAAAATACATCTTCAAAAAACAGCTTCTTTCTAAAGATAGAAGTGTATCCCAAGACAACATTCATGCGTTTCTCGATAAGCCCTTATATATAAGGCATTAGCTCCCTGCCTCAACCCTTTCCCCACCACAAACATTTATACCGTTGCATGTTAAGGAAATGGATTAGACAAAAATTTGTTGGAATCTTGTTGTTCAAAATTATGGATGGATGAATCATGTATGAATGAAAAAAAGGAAAATGACGTCATGAAAATGGCCTATGCAACCGCATAGGCCTTTTATGCATGCGGTCGAATAGGCGCGATTAGAAAATTCAGAGGCAGCCAAAGTTATAACTATGAGACTGCATAGTTATAGCCTATGGAGTCGCATAGTCATAAAATGTGACATTTGGCTGGGTTTTTTCGAATTTTCTGGTTGTTTAGTGATGAAGCATTGCATTTCTTGATTTGAGATTGGAACCACTTCGTATGGGATTGTTGAAATTTATAAATATTTGTTGTGCACACTAATTTTTTTTTTTATTGATTATTCATCCAATTTTTTGAGAGAAAATTTTGTCCATTTACATAATCAATTTTTTCACTTATTCATTTGAAAATTCCCTTTGCTTGGTGATTTTCATAAGGCTTGTTTAATCTTACAAACTATTTACCATTAAATCCTTAAAAACATTGTAGATGAAGCAAATATCGTTTGATGACAACGATATAACCTTCATGTTCAAGCATTTACCAAATTTATATTCATCATTTTTTTCTCCTTTGTTTTTGTGAAGTTAAAACACCGTTTTACACCTTGCAACCGGGCTCAGAATCCTCCAATCGAACACCACAAGAGAAAACCCAAACTCCAACCTAGACTCCAAACGGTTGCTCCACCGTCTATGCCCACACAGGTGGTTCTAAGGAAGGAATGGTGAAGAGTTAATAACCACAAGCTAGCCACAAAGGCAAAGGAGAGAAAGGAATGAAGGTAGCACACAGCCACAGCCTAAAGCACCGATTTCTCTCAAGAGGTTATCACCGAAAACTCTCACACACTATGAATAGAAACGGGTTAGCATACATATAGTATTAGGTATAGAACTAGGTTAGGCCCAATAAGCAAGCGAAGGCCCAAGTAGAAAACATAGGTGG